CAAACCCAAACCCAAACCCAGAAATAAATTAATTTTCTTCTTGATTATTGTTTTAATTAATAAATGAAATTAAAAAAAGTTGGTAGTTAAAATTTCCTTTTAATATTAAGATCCTACTCAAATCTCTATTAGTTCGTATTTGTCATTATTGTTCTTGAAAGGTTTGTAAAAGAACTTCTTAAAGTCTTATTTCCACTTAAATTTTTGTATTTTGAACTTTTCTTAACAACGATGCTTTCTAGTTTCGAAAGATGAATCTGAAACCCATTAATGGCATTACTTGATTTTATCCTTTTAGATTCTCAAAGGAAGGAAAAATTGTTACTAGCTAATTACAATTCTTTCAAATTTAAACAAGAAGAAATACAAAAATTTGTTTGAACTTCGCTTCATGCTAATATGTATTTAAAATCAATTTTATAGTTATCAATACTTCAAGTAGCGAACGAAGTAGAATTAAATTTATATCGAAATAATTGTAATCTCTCCTTCCCACTTCATACAATATCACTTCTCTATGCTTTCTAGAAATATAAAGTGTAATTATTGTAACAGGGCAAGAATAACTTTAAATAGATATTAATTTGAAGTGGATTAGTTTTAAACTGTCAACTTAGGTGGAATCAAGGCTTATAGTTCACGTTTGCTTGAGAATTATTTTTGTAAGGAGAATTAATATAATTCTGCTGTTCTCTAAAAGATTCATCAAAAATATGAATTTAATAGTGAGTTAAACAAATAAATAAGAGATGTATTAAATTATCAACTCAGTAATAATTATAATATGATATTTGTGGATATTTTAAAAAATAAAAATATCCCATAGTGTTGCTTGCATCATACAATTCTACATTATTCCCTTTAATAAAATATGAAACTAACGGATGATATTCTAATATAAGGATTTAAGTTTCTAGTTGAGAGATCTAAAGTTAAATGTTCAAGTTGAATATAGTTTTAAGCTACCAATTATCTTTTTCAAATTCTTCCTGATAAACGATTATTAAATGTATTTGGAATTATAGATGTGAATAAATAAAATAGTTTAGAATTAATTATCATAATGTGAATTAAGTAGAATTTAAGAATTAATAAGGATGGGATTATATCGATATTTAGAACTTTATAATTTAGAATAACAATGATGGGCAAAGAATTTTTAATTGATAAAATTAAAAGAAATTACATTTAGCCCAAAAATGTGCTTGAAATTTATGATTCAATTTTGACAAATTTGGCCTAATTTTTAAAATAACTAAAGTTAGAACTCAATATTAATAATTATTACTGCTGCTTTGTTTTAGCTAATTATGTAATAAAAATAATAATTAGGAGAATTTTCAAAATATGATTTCTTATTTCTTGTAGGCAAATGATATGTGGGTTGTTAAACTTAAATTTTTATAAAATGTTTTTTCTTAATTAAACATACATTCCATTATATAAATCTTAATTCTTATGTCTCTGTATTTGTTTGAGGATTATTCTTTTATTGGGATTCTAAGTTCACCACCTCTTAGTCCCTCAATGGAATTAATGACAATTTGTGTAGTTCATTAATAACCTTGGCAGAACAATTGATTCGAAATTCATCTTTGTTAATTTATTATTTTAATTAATTTTCTAATATATGCATGTACCACAAGGATAAGATTTGATTTGCATGATTAGAACCATCTTTTATATTAATCACCATCATTCGCATTTGTAATATAAAAGATGTTAGACTTGGAAATGCTTTCTAGTACTGCCTAAACTATTGTTAAATTTGATAGAGTAGCCAAGTAGGTTTACAATATCTTTGATCACCTAATAAATTAGATGAAGTATGTTGATGTTGATAGTGATATTATTAAAAGTTACATCCCTTGCATTATTTAACAGGTACAATAAGTTGGTGAACCAAAAAATTCAAAGTTTTAATAAATAAACAAATGGAATAGACTTGAAAAACACAACTAATGATAAAAAATAGCTCCATATATTCGCTATAGCAGAAGTAGACTGCAAAGCTATTTAAGAAACACTTTGATAGAATTGACTATTTTATTTCAAGTTAGGAAGCACAAATAAATAATTTCTTCACATTGAAACTTTAGGATTGAGATCAAGAAGTTCAAGCGTTTTGACCATCTCTTTAATGCGACAATGCGAATAATAATTTGATATTGTGACTCTTATACATTCTGCTAAGAATGAAGTATAGGTTGTTGCATCTTCAGTTACAATCAGGGGAATGAAGTAATTCAAAATAAGCAGAATTACAAGGTTGCTTATTTAATTGAGAACAGTTTGTAATTACCATAATCATAGTAGTGCAAACACCATAATCCAGAGAATCCATCATATCTAGCCATGTTTACGCCAAAGTTTTATTGTCAAAAAGAATAATGTAAGAAAACAAGCAATAAGCTGTACAAATATTTGAAATTTACTTTACAATTATGGGGAGATTTTTTCGGCAAAATTTAGATGATAGATATAGAGCCGAAAAAGAATTGAACTTTTACATTTGCAATCTCTTTCAGCAAATG